TTATTATATAGTTTTCTAGCTTTCTCTCTCTCTATCTCTATCTATCCTTAAACCACACACCTCTCTCTAAATTTATTGTTCTCTAATTTCTAACTTTCTATCTCTCTCTTTCTACCCTTAAACCTATACACCTCGCTTTCTAAATTTCAAACTTCTACAAATCATCTCTCTCAATAATTTTTAACCAAAAACAAAACTTCCTATGTTTCTCTCTCTGACTTTCTAACTTTGTATATATCATCTCTTTTTATAAATATGTATATTATGTAGAGATAGACATACCTGCAGAGATGTCTAGAGTGAGAGAGAGAGATTCGCTTTTAAAGAAAGAGGGAAAGAGAGAGAGTAGGTGATATATATAGGGGGAAGAGATTTAAAGGAAGAGAGAGATTTGAAGAAAGAGACAAAGAGATAGAGAGAATAAAAGAGAATAAATATGTGGGGAGAGATTTAAGGAAAGAGAGAGAGAGATTTGATTATGGGGGAGAGATTTAAGAAAATAAGGGAGTGAGAGAGAAATATGGCGTTGGAGAGAGAGAGGGTAAATATGAAAAACAAAAGGACACGTGATGCAAGAATAGCAAGAGTGTTACTCTCGCTTAATATAATATATGGAAAACACTACCAAACGTCTATAGATGAAGTTCTACAGTATTTCACGTACGACTTTATCACCGTTTAAAATTTATTACACGGTCACAGATGTCTGATAGTATTTGATTTTTATTTTATTTTTACAAATTATAATAATCTGAAATTTTGTAGGTGTGTGTGCCTTAGTGAGATGCACATGAATAAAATATAAAACAAATAATTTGAATGATAAAAAATACTTAAAATACTGGTATAAAGTTTCAGGGGTAATTTCATCATTTTATTTTATGACTATTATTTTTTTAATATTTTATTTTGGTGAGACTTGGTCATACGTAGACACGCCCCAAATTCTAGATAAATTTGATTAGTAAAAAAATTATGAAAATTCAAATACTACTGAAAACTATGACCATATGATGAACTTTAGACGCTGATGAAGTGTAAGTGAAGTACTGTAGAGCTTCACCTATAGGCGTTATATATATATATATATATATATATATATATATATATAGAGAGAGAGAGAGAGAGAGAGAGAGAGAGAGAGAGGGTCGTCGGTGCGTATGCGGTAGGTGGTAGACGAACGTACCGTACCTACTTACTACTACCTACTTACTTTACTTTCTTACTTACTTAACTTAC